TTTAAACCAAGACAGTCACACAGCTGCTGCCACGGATCCTGCACACCAGGGATATGTCAGAGACAGAAATGGGTCCATTCACAGCTTAATGGGAGCTCACTTTCATGGCAGGAGCTAATGTGGCCTCACCTGTAGCTGGTATCCACTGGAGAAAGGCATCACATAAATGCAGTGCTGGTGCTGGTTCACCACAGGGGCTCAGACTCACAGCTGCTAGGCACTAAACCAGGAGCTCTGCAGGTTGGGAATGGCTCTCAAGCACAGATCTCTCTCGGCAAGCTGCCTGCAGCCAGAATAGCCTTGCTTTTTTAGACAGAGCCTGCTTCAGGTGCTTAGTTTTCAGGCAAAGGGATCAGAGGGGGCTGTATCTTATGGCTGGTTCTTGTTGCTGCTGCCACATCCAGTCTTAGAAGCACCACTAAGGTGGTGACCAGTGCCACCTATTCCCCTTCAGTGGCTGTTAATGAAGCACAATTGTATTTATAGAGAGTCCTGTTTTTCTCCATCGAGGAGGTTCAGTGTGAGACAAGGTTTACCTACTCTTTTCCACTGCTGGGGAAAAACAGGCTTCACAGCATGCTCATACACTCCCAAATGACATGTGCTTGTCACTGGCATTACAGGCAGTAAAAAAGAAGTCTGATGCTCATGTTTTGTTCAGATGAGAACAAAATCCCACCAAGCCCCTCTGCAGAGAGTCAGAGCAATTAAAGCTCTGCTGGCTGCAAGGAGTCATGTTGGAAACTACCAGCCCCATCACACTCAATAGCTTACTCTCCTTCAAGGAGATAGTTTTTCTGCCAAATTTTACACTTCTTTACATCTGATGTTCCTAGCCTGGGAAAGGTAAAGCATCATTGCATCTTAGTGTGTTGTGCCGCCAGGGGCAGGGACAGCTTTTGTAGCAATGGTTTGCAGCAAGCATCAGCACGTTGCTGGATTTACTGCTGACCACCCCCTAGCTGTTTCTGTGGAGCCTGAAATGCTTTTCCTTTGATGTAAAGACACTGGAAACTTCACGTAATGGCAACACAATGCCACAACTTGGAAACTGTCCGCCCTCTTCTTTCTCACAATACTCAAGCAGAGAGCTCTGGCACAAGACTGCCGGTGGCTCTGAGGAAGGTTGCTCACAGGTGATGTAACACCCTGGCATAACATGCCTTTGAGCTTCTTCCTCTTATCAGGACAAGAAGCTGCATGCAGAGGTGCTGGCATAGTGCAGAAGGGTTTAGAATCCTAAGAGTTACTGGGAAAGGGAACAGTGTGGGGGGAAAAAAATCATATGGGCTCTTTTTTTTTAGCTCAACCATTGCTTTTGACATTATGCATTTGGAGAAACTGCTATCTGCTATCCACGTAACTCCCTCAGCAGCCTGATGGAGCTGAGAAGCTTTCTGAAAACAGCAAAGTCAGAGAGTTTCACCTGGCTATCCCCTCTTTGCTTTATATCTAATATTAAACACATTTCCCTGCCCTCATCAAAATCAGTAACAGTATTATTGGAACAAGCTGTGCGGGTCCTCAAATTCTGTCCTCTGCTAATGATATCCTGTCAGTCAGCAACAGAACTTGTACATGGTTGAGATTACTGAAGCTCTTGCCTGCAGGTTTTTCCATGGCACAGCACAAGGGATAATCTGGCCTTGTGAGTGTACAGTGAAAAAAAAAAAATTAGCTTTATTAAAGAAACCAATACTTTCAGCCTAGATTATGCCTCCTGCCAGGGAGGTGACATCATTACTAGTCCAGGTATTCATATTCTGCTGAGCTGGCACCTGAAATAGAGCTCATGTTTCCCCAGACTTCTCAGAAACCTCTGTTCAAACCCTTAGAACTTCAATATCGTAACTTCAATGTTTTGCTGGGTTTTTACAGTGCTGTGATCTGATAATTTCATCACTGGCAGCCTACACTGTGCTTTACCTTGCTAAATGTATTTAGGATTAGATGCAAACCATGTGTTTCATTTAGATAAGTCTCACATCAGGCTGAAGTGTTGCATGCAAGACCCTCAGGATGAATAGATCCATCTCCCTGGGGGACCAGGAATACACTGGGTCCCAAAAACTTTGCTGAACTGGAGAGGAATCTGAGAGCCTCTGAGTCAAAACCCACTGCTCAATCTCCTTAAAATCCCACCAGGACTCACTTATAACAGTGGGCAGCTCTGAAGCTGCCTCCATTTCTGCTTGGAGCCTCTAAAGAAAAATAAAATAAAAACATGACCAATAATAAACAAATCAATAACCTTAGAAAGCACAGTCTTCTCATACTGAGAATGTTTTCCATATCTGTACATTGGACTTGAAGAGACAATTAAAAACCAAAAATCACAGCACTGGTAAACTATAGAATTATCTGTTGTATTTTCATTAATTTGTGCAAACTGCACAAATTCATCATTATCGTATTTATAATAGATTAAATGCATAACACTGCTGAGATGCATGGATGCTTAGACAAGGAAATTAGCTAAACACATAGTTCCCTCTGTGATAGGACAAATCTGGGTAATGCTGGGCAATTTTTTTTTTTTTTTTCTTGCTGATATTGCCCTTGAAAATCCTTTGTACAAGGGGCAAGTTTGGGGGATGGCCACTGAGAAATTAACCAAGGTACTACGGGCAGCACTGCACAGTGTCTGACCTCCCAGGCTGGTAATCAATAAACTCTATGCTAGCTTCAAAATAACTTTCCTAATAGGCAGAATAGCTATAATGATGCTCTTATGAGAGAGAATATACTTAAGGTAGTTAGTCAGTAGTAACAGTATTTGGATAAAACTAGTTCTGACAAAAAAATAGTGTCAGAATATTAATATACCCCTGCAAAGTAAAATCTAGACTAACTAGAATAAACTTTCAGAAAATGATAGCAAAGGTTACCAGCAGAGCAGACTGACTCTGCCATAAGCAGGCATGGGGCCGTGCTTACCAGATCAAACGAGGATAATCCCAGGTAAGTGGAAGGTACTTAGTGGATGCAAAAGACCTGAGTACACTGATGTGTGCCAAGTCTTTTGAGGAGTAACTAGGTCAAACAAGCTGAGTCCTTGCATAAAATTATGGCATGGCTAAAACCTTGAGAAATTTCTTCTGAGATGACAAATGTGCTTCAGGTGAATTTTACATGTGAAGGGAGAACTAGTTTTGTGTAGAGCCTGTGGGCTCTCCCATGGCTAAGGAAGCAGAACAGGAGCCAAGCTGCCTACAGAGGCCTGCCACGGTGGTTAGGTGGAAATTTTTCCCCAGGTAAGTAAGTGAGTAGAGACATCATCTGAAATTTTGGGTGAGTCAGAATGAATAGCTTACAGTAGGTGTTAGGCAGGAAACACAGGGAAGGATAGGATCAGGTCAGGAGGGTGCTGAGGAAGGTGGAGGGGGCAGTGGGGCTGCTTGGACAACAGTAGGCACGTTCAGGATGACAGGTTGAAGGAGTCCAGGACAGCAAGAAGGAATGCAGCAGGGCTGGATCCAGGCTTTATCTTAAATAAATTCTGAACTATGCTCTCAGGAAAGAAACAGAGAAAGAGAACTTCAGAGGAGAGAGAATAAATATGCTCATAAATAAAATAACTATGTATTTATAGATAACAAATATACCTATGCCTACTTATATTTATAAAATTTATTGATAAAAATAGTCCATATCAATAAAAATAAAGTATGTGGTAAAATTTTTCATTCTTTCATTTGTTTTTCTTCATTCCAAGGTATTATTCCCAAGTGTTGCAGTAATGTATCCTTAACATTGTTCCTATACTAATAGACTTACTTGATATACTTATGTCTGACCCTCATGGTTACTGTTTCTGACAAACTGACTAAGTACTAAACATGAGAAAATGGAATCCTGGATGTCAGACTGTCTTCTACCTCACTCAGCAGTGCCTCACCACTGAACAGTGTTTTATTTCATACCAGCATGGCCCCTTAGTCACAGTGAGAATTTCCTTTCTTTGAGTATGGTCAGACCATGCTAGGTCTGCAAAACTTCTCTCTCCCCATTGAGATCTCTGCTGTTTATTTTTTATAGTCTGTAGGAAATGTTGTCAAAAGAAAAAATCTATTAGCTCTGAAGGCTACCCGAGGAGACATGGTAAATAACTTAGCATCATCATACGAAGTTCCAGCAGGGCTGGGAGCAGGACAAGTTAGACAAGAGAGCACAGGCATTTCTTGCAAAAAATGGAGTCAGCCTGCTCTGACTCATAGCCTCTCTGACTTTGAGAAATCCTCTCCCTTCATGCAACCTCCAATTCGAGAAACAACAGTTGCTAACACTTCTGCTTCTCCTGGTGCTCACTTCCCTCAAAGCCTAGCATAAAGTTTTTGCTATGATGCTTGAGCTCAGACTCGTGGTCTTGCTCACAGCAAACACCAACTTGTTCCACAGGAACAGATACTGGCTTTGCTTATGAAGCAGGACTCCGAGATACGCATAAACTCATGCACAGTCTGGTCATTCAAGATTCATTACAAATTAAAAAAGGAAATAAAAAACCGGAAAGCAAAAAATCTCAGCAAGTTGCAGCTGCCAGCACACAGGCTGCAGTACATGGAAAGAACATTTTAAGGGGAGGGAAGAGGTAACTCATTCTCTGACCTGGTGTGGAGGTCATTTTCAGTCCTCTGACAGTACAGGCAGTTTGGGCCCAGGTGACATGTCACCGAGCTGTCTGTGCCAACAGCTCTGCGGGATCTCTTCCACCCCGGCCAGCACACAGCCCATCTCACTGCAAGTGCTTGTACAGGAGGTGCTGCCTCCAGCAAGCTCGCTGGGCTTCATTCCTGGGGCTCCATCTCTACTGTGTGTGGAAAGGTCGTTTCCGCACAGCCTGGCATTCCTGTGGGCAACGAGTGGGTGATTTGGTATTGGATTAATAATGAGCAGGGCATAAACCCAAATCTCCCGCTAAGTATAGGGAGCCCAGTGCATAATTCTGAAACTGACAGAGCCAGTGTGAGACAGCCCTGGGAAACTGTCCCTGGGAGATGGGGACACTGACAAAAGGCAGCTGAAGCCTCGGGCAGTAGACGGGCTGTAGACAGCCCTAATTGCCGGCTGGTTGTGACAGCTATCAAGGCCCCTCCTGACCAGTCCGCACTGGAGCAGTGGTTCAGCGGGAGCTGCGGGGCCGAGTCCCCCGAGGCTCCCCCGAGCCGGGCACGGCTTTCTGCCTTCGCCCCTCCTCACGTCCTGGGAAACCTTTCCCGACCCCTGCATCCTTTCCCTGTTTTCTAGGGACACACAGTATTTTACCCAAAACTGGGTAAAACCACAGGCTGGGGTCCCGCGGCCCGAGGCTGCAGCTGGGACACCTCCCGCTGCCCGCCGTGCTGGCCCCGCCGGGCCGAGGCCTCCTCCCCGCGCCCTGGGGCGGCCCGGCGCGGCAGCGCCGCCAGCAGCGGGGCCGGGCCCCTCACGGCTCCGCCCCGGCTCTTTAAGGCGCCGCGGGGCTGCGCCGCGCCGAGACGCGCCGAGCCGAGGTGAGAGAGGTGAGTGCTGGGCAGGGGTCGGGGGCGGCGAGCGGCACAAGGCGAGGCAGTGCCGGGGAGGCGGCGGTGGGCGATGCTCGCCCGCTCCGGCTGCTCGGCTGCTCTAGTGATGGAGCTGCCACGCACCGGGCTTCCCCGACGGGCCGCCGAAAGAGCCGTCTAGGATAACCGGACAGCCTGGAATTCTTGCGTGTCTGTCTCGCGGCTGGCTTAGGTCTATTGAATTAGAGCCGCTGTTAACAAACGGGTCGGAAAGTGCTCGGCGGCTGCCGTGGCTTGTCCCGTGGATGACGTGCTGGGGACAAGCAGCTGCCATCAAGCCGCAGCCGGAGTTGTTGGTGCTGGCAGTGAGATCACCTGGATGTTTAATCGCTGCTTTTGAGCTCCCCAGAGGCTTGCATGAACTAGCCAGAGAGCCCCGAGGGAGCAGGGCAGGCTTGAGGCGGGGCTGGGATGGAGCCCGGGGCGACGGAGGCTCCGGGCGCCGCTGAGGAGCCCCGTGCGGGCGGCGGCCGGGCCGGAGCGCTGCGGGGCACGGCTGCTGCGGGGCTCCGGCCCTGGGCGCCTCCTGAGCGCCGCTGCCAGCAGGGAGCTCCTGCTGTTGAGTAACTGAGGAAATATTGCCGTGCTTCCCACGCAAGCGTCATGGGAACATCATGGGGAGGATAAATGGAAATACATTCTCTGGAAGAGAAAACAGTTACCTTGACCCTTGACGGGTACCAACTTTAGTTCCTTTTTATTTTTCATGTAATGGATTCCCAAAGCCCTTATCAGAAGTTTTAAGTTAGCTAATGGTTGTCCGGTCGTCTAGTATTCTGTCTCTCTCGAGGAAGAAAAGGTGGCGCTGCACCCTGTGTTGCCCAATATTGCGTGTGAAATCTGGGACAAGGCTGGGGAAACCTGATTCAGGTTCTCAGCTCTAGTGTGCGTGAAAACTAAATTATTGTTTGCTAACAAAACGATTAAAATTACGTAGGCTCATGTAAATGCACAATAGAACATGAGCATGGTGGTGATGAGAGGAAAAGACTGAAGTAGTTCTTGTACCAAATGCAATTTACATTTTGGAAAGCATACAGAGTGGAAAGGAATCTCTTCTCATTTTCTTTTTTTTTTTTTCTTTTCCAGTCCATGCATTCCTTTTCCAAAGCGTTGTGCAGTCTATATTCTCTTTAACTAAGGACACTCTTTGCTGTGATTGATGTCAGCTGCTGTGCAGTAGCACAGCCAAGCACTTGGATAAAAGAAATGGAATCTTGATTTTTAGACTGTGCAGTTGTGCCAAGAATGACAAATGCAAAGTGGGAAATGTCATAAAACTAATTTTATGAGCTAGGTCAGGGTATTAGTGCTAAACCATGGAGCAGTAATGATGCTAATCCCATGGAAGTATTAAACAAAGGGTATCTCAGTAATTTGTGTCAGTGTGCAAATGGCACTGCTCAGCCACTCTGAGGAAGTTTCCTAAGCTGTTGCTTAGGAATGTACCTAAGTTGCCCCAATTTAGGTTAATAAACTAATCTTATTTTCCTACATGCCATGAATGGCTGGCCGCTTGTCTTGGACAAAGGTCTTGTAGCAGCTACCTGGCAGCATGTCTTACTTGGGAACCACACATCCTACCTTGCATCCCTAAAACTGCTGAACTGCTGCTCGTGCTGCTGGGGTGGGAGGCTGGTTTTACCAAGCAAGATGTGTCACAATAATTCGGGCTTAGCCAAAACTGCTGCTCTCAGTTGTGATTTGCGAGTCTGCTCTACCTTGCCTGGGGTGCAGGGCAGCTCGCTCTGCACTGAGGCCTGCCCCACACATTGGGAGAAGAGCCCCTTAGAGAAAAGAGCTTTTGAAGCAAAGTGCTCCTCTCTGGCTCCCTGGGGTGGCACTTCCAGTTCCTTTCTATTGACAAGAGAGGTAACTGGAAATTGGTAGTCCTCTGCTTCTGCTTCAGAGGGATGAGTGCAGAGTTAACTGAAGGCAGCAGGCTGTGGGCTTTGTGTGGGGATGATGTTGTGTGTATCTTCTCCTTGTCAGGCCTAGGAGAGCTTCTCAGGGTTACTGAAGGTGAGTTTTGTGGAGAAGCTCCCAAGAAATTCTTTCCCAGCCTTGCTCCCTGATAATTGACCCGTACTGCAGTGCTGCTGTCGGAATGCTGCAGGGTGGGAATGCTCTTGTTGATGGGGTAGAGTTGGTAGGAGGTGCCCTCTGGGCTTCCAGTGGGCCTCCATGGTCCTCGTCAAAAAACCACGTGTGAAATGAGGATCACTAAGGAGTGCTGGGGTGATGACTGCTGAGCAGCTCTGCTGGGTTAAGCTCATGGAGGCAGTAACCCTGTCTGGCTGCTGTTGGACTCTGTGCTGGTGAGAGGTGGTGGTGCTGAGCTGCAGGAGAGCAAATCAGCATTAAACAGCAGTCACAAGCCAAGGGCAGTTCAGGGCTGACAGCGAGATAAGCCTCCAGCAAACACAGCTGTGTTAGCTCATGGTGGTGGTGGCGGGAGGAAAGCCCCAGAAATCTGTACGGTGGGCAGGGCTCTGCTTTGGAGTTTAACCCCAGACAATTAATGGGAGGAGCTGGAGGAGCTCCTCAAGGGCTGGGGGGGAACTGCTACTGGTGGTGACAGAGTACAGGGGAGTTCGGGGAGGAGCAGATCAGCTTGAGATAGGACAACTATTGCTTCTGGCTTAATGGAAGAGATTGTTCCCAAGGCTGCAGGTTGACACTGTGGGTGAGATGCCTGTCCCCAGAGTTTTCTGAGTGTACATTGCAAGTAATGCATGAGAGAGGGTTTCACTTCTTTTAAATCAGCTGTGGCTTCTTGAGCAGTTGGATTTCATTGCTATACCAGCCTGGTAAAGGTGCAGTTCGTGTAACAGGGGTGGAGTCCCTGGGAAATAGTCTCTCTTAAACTTCTTTGAAGTGCAGGTGTGTTCTCAAAGGAGTTCAGAATGTTCCTACAACCCTAATAAGTGATTTTCTGGCGACATGAACTTTGGCTTGTACCACATCCCAAATGACAGGCCCTGCAGTAAAACAAAATGCCATTGTTGGCACAATTCGTTTGCTTCTGTCAGACAAGAGGCCCAGCATTAATGAAGCATAGAAACTGAAATTATATCCATCTGGGGGGGGGGGGGGGGGGGGGCATTTGTTCCAGGTACAGTAAAGCTTTTGTGCATGAAACTGTAATTTGTGCATATCCAATTTATGTAACTTTCAAAATCCCCAGGCAGGGAGGGAGGACATGGCTTGTGAAGACTGTGTGTGTTTTTCTTGCTGTTCAGCAGCAGTGGTCTCTGTTCCCCTTGCCAGTTCGTCTGTTTTTACAAATAGCCGTAGAGAGCCTGCCTAAGCCTTTAAGTCTGGTCTGGCATCTGAAGAGCTGGGAAGTTGAACTGGTCCCAAAAATTTCTCACGCAGTTGAAAGTCATGTTTTTAAGCAGTTGATGAAACTACAGGGTTGTGCTCTGATGCCACACAAACTTCACAGATCTGTTCTGAAGGAGCCTGTAAGCCCAGCTGTCCTGGGGCCAGGGTGATGGAGGACACTGCATTTAACAAATGTCTCCCTTTCTCCCCTCCAGCCTGGCTGGGCACACAGAACTACCATGCCGAACTGGGGAGGTGGCAACAAATGCGGTGCCTGTGGCCGCACTGTCTACCATGCTGAGGAGGTGCAGTGTGATGGGAGGAGCTTCCACCGGTGCTGCTTCCTCTGCAGTAAGTATTCTCCTCCAAAATCTCTCCTGCCATAGCTGTGAGGATCACAGCAGCAAGGGCTGGTCCACAGGAGGTGTCCCAGAAACAGGGGATGGCAGTGGCCAGAGGTGACTTTGTCCATTGTGATTCCTGCTTCCCCATGTGCTTCCTGGGCTTGGCAGTCCTGAGGGGAGAGCTCACCTCCTGGAGAGGTTTTGTCATATCGGGGGTGGGATGTACGTCTCAGAGCAGAGCACATCCATTTGCACTCTTGCCAGCCTTTTCTTCAGGGGTCCAAGGGATCCTGAGGCTGAATACCTGGTTTAAGTGTTGCTCATGCAAAGGAGGAAGCCCAGTGGTAGAGCCTTGTTTGCACTGATCTGAGCTCAGCTGGGCTTCTCCCCATGGTCCTGGGGCTGGCAGAAGCTGAAGGAACAGTTATCAAACTGCTGCCCTGGAGTCCTGTGCAGGCCAGGACAGCAGTGCACACAAGCACAGCGAGTTGTTGATGCTTTGGCACAGCCAAAAGCCTAAACTTTCTTGGCACAGAGGCCTGTGGTTTATTTCAGATGAAAGGAGTCCAAAGCATTATTTTCCAGTCCAACCAACAAGCCCAGTGAGGCATTGAAAATCGCTTTCTCTGCTTAGATGAAGGGAACAAGAGGGTCTCTGTGAATTGGAGGCACCTACTTTGCAAGCAGACAGCCTTGCTGTCTGAATCAGAGAATTTTACCTTACTGCAAACATGAGGTACTGTTTTGCCCCACTTGTTGGTGATTAATACATACGGGCACAGCTGGGGTTTAGCCTTCTTATATTGTCTGCAGTTACAGCTGGGCCTCTCAAACAAGTTTGCTGTTAAGTCTGCTGTTTAACCTTGGTGTGCTGTGCTGGCATTGAGAGCCTCGGCACACCTACACTCCTTTCCTTGAGCTCTACACTGGACACAAAAAACAAAGATTAGATTACTTGGCTGCCTCATTTTCAGCCTTTTATGGGAGTTACTATTAAAAGAAGCCTGGAACTTGCAGTCAAACAATGGCTCTAGTGTGTCTGAATACACGGTTTTCCTTAGTGCATACTTCTGTTGGGGTTAAAGTCCATAGACTTAACAAACATGCATTAATTGATTTACTTATTGGATATTTGTGTCTTATAAAAAGAACCTTAGAGCTAATGATTGCCATAAGTAAAAGTCATCCAGTGTTTTGCAGACATTAAAATCTTTAAACAAAAAAATTATGAGGGCGTTTCTTTTTTTCTCCCTAAATTCTTTTTCATGGGCATAATGCTGTTGCAGATGGAAAGAGCATACCAGTTGGCTTACAAAAGGAGGTTTAAGAAGGAAATAGTTCTTATTTCTACTGTAACCTTGAGTAGAGGGCTTGCATTGTGCTGAAGGACAATGTAGGAATGCCAGGAAAGCACAGCCCCTCTGGTGACAGCTCCAGCTCTGCCCTGAAGCAGTATTAGGGAGGGGAGAAACCTTGAAAGTTTGTGTTTTTTCCCAGCCCCACCCTGGTTAAAAGAGCAGGGCAGGGGCTCTTCTGTACTGATAAGCTTTTGCTGCATACTGTATGGCATCTGTCAATGTCAATATATCAATCTGCTGACTGCCCTCTCTGGGTTTCTGAGCAGCCTTGTTCATCAAACCACGGCAAGTTTCCAGGCTTTAAATGTCATGGTCATGAAGAGGTGGGAGGGAAATAGAGCCCTTTATGGGGCTAAGCATAATTCAGGAATTCAAACAGTAACTCTAATCTCTGGTGGTCCCACTGTCTAATGGGAGTAATTTTGAACAGGGAAAACCATAACATCACTTCTCACTTGATTTTTGGCTTACTATTTGTGCTGATGGAAGTAGTCCCTTAAGGCAGTTTAACTTTTTTTTTTTTTTTACCTCCAGTGGTCTGCCGGAAAAACTTGGACAGCACAACTGTAGCAATTCATGATGCTGAAGTTTACTGCAAATCTTGCTATGGGAAAAAGTATGGCCCAAAAGGTTATGGATATGGCCAAGGGGCAGGCACACTGAACATGGACAGGGGAGAGAGACTAGGCATCAAGCCTGAGAGGTGAGTGAACTGAGTTGGGGGTGCATGGCCCTTGTCCTTCAGTACTACTTTCAGAGAAGTCTTTCAGGCCGGATTTTGTTTATGTTTATGTTTATGTTTGGAATAGAAATGCTGCAAAATACCCCAGTCTAGCTGAATGCAGGGCACTGAACCTGCATTGCACAAAGCTCCCACTGGTGACTGTGTGTGTCAGAACAGTAGAGGCAGGAGTTAGTGCGAGCACGGACACACTCATCTTATGAACGAGCCATAGGGGATTGGATTAGGGAGCTGCTGATGGCATTGCATGAGCTCACAGAGGTGACTGTGGGTCTCACATTGCTCTCCTAAATAAGCTGGAAATGGCGATGTTCAACAGGTTCTTGCAGGGATGGATTTGGACAGCTGAGAATCTGGCACTACAAGCAGAATGAGTTTTTAACTAGCAAATGAAGAACCATTTGTGCTTAATTATAGTCAAAATCAAAAGTCACATTAAATAGTAAACATTCCTAATCTGATTAAGTTCTTGCTGCAAAACAGAACATGTGGAAAGAAGCTGAGGTATGCCTCAAAACTTGCTTCATGCAAGTACCCAAATTATTGCTTAACGTTTATATGATGTATGCTCTCCAGCCAGGTTCAGTAATCTATTCAGGTTCCTGATTATAATCAGTGGACAGGAACTTAACTGAATTATTTGTAGCTTACGAGCTGAAAAATCTATGTTCTGATGGAGATCAGCTCTTCTAGTTAAGTGAATAGAGGAAGGCTCCTTAGGAAAATAGCCTTTACAGTAGCTTCTTTTTATCCTTTAAAGCACGGCCTTCCTCTTTTTGTTGTTGCGGCTTTGGTTTTCTCCCTACTAAGTGTAATTGGATAGCCTTGCTGGTAACTTACTTCTCCAGTTTTGCAGCAGTACTGTATTCTGTACCACATGCTGGATGCTGGTCTGTACATGTTGCTAAACAGAGCAAGAGGTCATTTCGTGAAAGCACAGAGAAAACAAATGTCCTGTTTCTTTCAGCACGCCTTCTCCCCACCGGCCCACCACAAATCCAAATCCTTCCAAGTTTGCTCAGAAGTTTGGAGGGACAGAGAAATGCTCTAGGTGTGGTGATTCTGTTTATGCAGCAGAGAAAGTAATAGGAGCTGGAAAGGTAAGGAAATGCATGTGCTGTTTTGTACCTGCTATATGTGGATTTTAAATTGAGGAAGGTGTGTTATGTCAGTCCCGGCAGGGAACCAACTGTAGGGCAGTTAGTTACCTTAAAATTGCATTTCTTTGCACTGGAAATAGTCAAATCAATCAACTTAATTGAAAAACAAAGCACTTGAAATGCAGGGTGATGAGTGATCACCTTAGATTTCAGAGGTGAAGATTTAATATTGTGGTGTCATGCTAAGAGACTTGAAGCAAACGACATAAGCCCCTCTCACCCAGAGAGGAAACAATCTTGAAGTGTGCAGCTTGTGAGGGAGGCTGAATGTTTCATCTAAGGGGGCATGGTCTCTGAAAATACCATGTTAAACTGCATGTCAGTCTGCCAGCTGTCTGACTCACTTGCTGTGGAGAGCCAAGATGTGCTCTGAATTGATCACAGCAAGCCCAAACCTTACATAATGCTGCTCTGAGCAGGATGCTGGGTGGAATCTGGGGCTTTGTGCTGCTCACAGAAATGCAGATGCTCTTGTCTGCTACTGGTGCACTTCAGCTAGTTTTCATTGCACCAGTCTCTAATCAATAGTGATGCAGATATCTCCAGTTAATGTGTTTTTTAACCAACTTGGGCATCCTGTGTATTAATACTGTCTTCTTTATTTTTTCTCTAGCCATGGCACAAGAACTGCTTCCGATGTGCCAAGTGTGGCAAAAGCCTAGAATCAACAACCCTAACTGAAAAAGAGGGAGAGATCTATTGTAAAGGTGAGAAAAGAAGCAAAGACCATTTATTTATGGTTCAAGATACTTTGCAAGGACAAATGGTCAATATATTGTTCGTATAAGAAACTTTGAGGCTCATGTTCACATGGAAGTGCTCTGTAAGTCATAGGAATAGAGTAAAAAATGAAATAGATATTACTGAAGCTGCTGATGTAGTTGACATCTGCATCAAGTAAAACATCACATACTGAGAAATCAGCAGCAGCTTTGCTCTGTGCCTGATCAGAGTAAGGAAACAAGCCAGCAAGTATCATGCTCTGCCTTCTCGAGTGGTTGTGGATATAAACTTGATCCACACAGTGGTTTGATGACAACAAATGCCTCAACAGATACCAAGCCACAGACCTGACCTGTGAATTGCTCTCACAGAGTGGGCTGGGAGCTGCATAGATTGAACAGTCCTGGCTACTGAGTTCAGTCCTCTTAGTTATGCAGCTTAACAAAATATTTCTAAGTGTTGCTTCCCAGGGGCATATTCTAGTGACTAAGGAGAAGCCACTGAGAGGCTTAGCCTAGACAGTGCTGTTCTTAATTAACGTGCCAGAAGACTCAGCTACTGCGTGTTCATCTTTCTCACAGGTTGTTATGCGAAGAACTTTGGCCCCAAGGGATTTGGGTATGGCCAGGGAGCAGGTGCCCTCGTTCATGCCCAGTGAGAGGGCTAAAAACACCTTCCAGCTCTGCTGAGATCATGCTAGAAGGACCAAGAGAGTTTCCTAAATGTTACTAACTACTGTGAAACAGATACTAGTTACTGTAGTGTACCTTCAGCTAATGATTTTAAAAACAAACACACACATTGCTTTTTTCCTTGCCTTGTGTATCACACTGTAACACTTTTAATACTGAGTATCAATTCAATAAAGCTTTGCTTGTTGATATACCCTAAATCTAAGTGTTGCCTACTTTGTCAGCATTAAAAGTGAGGGGAGTGTTGCTGGGTACTTCAGGGCTGGAAGAATGATGCCTTATAGACTTGATCCACAGCTCTGCTGAAAGCTGGACATACACAGTCATGGCCTTCAGAGCTGAATAACTTTCCTCCAGTATCACACCATAATATATCCTTGTGCAAGGCAAAGAGCTGCTCACTGCACAAAAGTAGAAAATCTTAAATCTACTGCTCAGTACGGTGACACAGCTCTGCAAGCGACAGATAGGGAGAACCTACCTGTGTGCCAAACGGCTGCCTGTCTCTGGCACAGAGTCTCTAGTAAATGAAAATAAAACCATAATATTCTGGGGGGCTGTGTGTGCTTTGGCATTGAGGTACTGTTATGCACAGAATTTACTGTGCAGGAATACTCCACCAAGACAGCTACAGATTAAGAAGTTAGGTTAAAATAAAAAGGAACTTTGAAACTCTTGTCTTATTTGAGAAGAAAGCTGATACTTTTTTTGGGATAAAAGAACCCTTCACAACACTGAATTTATGGAAACACATATAACTGGGACTGCTGTAGTGAAACATTAAGCAAGTGTGTCAGCATGGTCTAAAGCAGGTTCAAGTAACATCTATGACCATGGTCTGAGGCAATGAAGCAGTTCAACCCAAAAGCCTAATTAGAAAAATATGTACTACTCAAAATAATACACAAAGAGCATTTTGTACAGGTTATAAAGGAACCATGTAGATAGGAGGAAAAACAAGCCAGTTCAGTGACCCAAGAGCTTGTCCAGTTCACAGAGCAGGAAAGATTAGAGCTGAAAAAGACAACTAACTCTGAAGCAGCACATTTCAGGCGGGAGTGAGGCAGCTAACATCATCACAGCCTAGGAAACCCTAGGAAAAACCGTCCTGCTACACATACCATCGACATTGCTTTCATAGCAAGAAAGTCTGACTTTACTAAAAGGCAGCTAATGGGAGGTGCAAGGCACTGAACTCTAGTCGAGGCATAATGAGGGTGCAGAGGGCTGGCATCTTTTAAAAAAATCCCAAACCCAGGAACCAGCTTTCAAATAATCAGGACTCCCAAGCACAGCAATTCCTCTGATGGAGCACTGCAAATCTTGGCTGGAGATCTTCAGCACAGCTCAAAAGTCTTCCCTGGTCTTTTCCTGACAAGCCAAAGGGTGGTCAGCCTGGACACAGCCTCACCAGGAACACTGCTTGGGGAAGGGGAGAACACCACTGCCGATTCTCAATGTCAATACCAAAACAAGACTCAGTAGAAAACACTTTTTTATTCCCTTTAGCTGTGCTCCTAAATCCTAGCCTTAAACTTTAATAGATATTGCTGGTTGTAAATATCCTGATTACATTGTTTCTACTCTAACCTTTAGCAAGGACTAGACAAGGCACTCTGTCTGCTGCAAGTGCCACCCTAGATGGAGTTCTCCCTTAAGAAATGTTACCTTGCCAGCATGCTTCACTCAAAAGACAGGAATATTTAATTAGAGAATGCTAACTTTAATCGGTAGTGCAAAGGTGTAATTTACCACACCATAGTAACTCATAGGAATTCGCATCTGTACAAATTTGGGTGCGTGCCTGTACATTTTTCCAGAAAGGCTTCTAAAAATGAGCACAAACTACACTGTATGAAATCACACCCCAAGTCAATACAAACACTGCATCTAAGAGTCAATATTTATTTGATTAATAACTTACAAAATTTAACAGATTTAATTTATGTAAGGAGAGCTAGTTTATTAAACATTTTACAGATTTTTTTTGTTCACAACGTAATACACATCAAGATTTTGACAGTATTAAAATAATACTTGGCACAGTTATAAATAATATACAAAAAAATCCACAGCTTAAAATGTAGTGATGCTGTTTTACACATTAATTGAAAAAAAAATCTGGTGGACATCAAAGAATACAAAAACCTGCAAAGAAACAGCACATGTTTAGGGCCAAGACAAAATTCCTATTTATTCTACCTATGTCAGATTAAGTTGCTCTGATCTGCTGTTGGTCTGGATCAGCTTAAGTTTCAGAAGCAATGCAGTTTTGGTTCAACAAGTGAATTTTAAGTCTGATAACTTGACAGAAAAAATGCTGCATAGTTGGCTCCCCCCTGCTTGCTTTATGATTTCACATCAACAATTCAGTGTTACTCAAGACAAGTTACATTTTGCACTGGAAACTTCATACATCCCAAATCCATATATGCATGTTAATTTTCACAACTACCTATTATCGCTCATATTCTGCAGGTCTCAACAAATCTGTCACCAGAGAGCTACTGACATGTAAATAGTGCAGAACTTGCTATGTGCTACCAAGGATCATCTCTTCTTTTGCAAACATTTGTGACATGGAGTGCATGATGCAATTCATGGCATTTAATGCTACTGGGCAAATATGACCAAAACTTGCATCGTGCACTGAACTGCTCTTCTGGTGACTGGGTGATATTTTATGAAGTATATTGAAGCTCCTCAAGTTCAACTAACCCCGAACTAAAATGTGAAAAAAGAAATGAACAAATATGCAGAACATCATTGGTGATTAAAACAAACCACAGTGTAAAGCTTTCATGCTTTCTTTCTGGTTAGAAAATATATGAATAACAGAAGTCAATTGTTTTCACAGAAATAGAGCATGTTTTTGTTAGGATTACAAATTTTGTCTGACAACAGTAGCCAAAGCTTCTTCACCCCTATACCCAAACCTCTCCTGTTAAAAGTGTCCAAGACAACATTGATTTTTCCAGTATTAAACATTCAAGGACTCTAATGCTGTACTTCTGTAAATCCTGATATCTGGTACTTGCAAACTAAGTGTGTGTCTTGAGATCAATGAACAACTACAGAAAAAATGTTTACTTGCAAATACTGAACATCAACTATTTACAGTTTCACTGCTCCTCCTACTAAGGCAAGGGCCGGGAATACCACTAGATTGCTTTATTACCTGTAATCTGCGTATTACAGAAAACGCTAATTTTGCCAAGCATCAAACATGCAGTGAATTTGCAGGGCATAATGCCTATTAACAGCAATATTTAACATCACTAAAAGCTCATTAGATATCTTCCTATACTTTTTTTGGTTGAATAAAATGAAAATGAGCAGCTTTAAATACACTAAACACACACTCACAGAGAGAAAACTATTTGATAAATTATTTATATACAGATACACATTCTTTACACTGGTCTCAGACATCTGCTTTCAGGACCCTCCCCAAACTCCCCTCACAGGTTCCTTGAACCACTGGGTTGCTACAGCACTTAGAAGAGAACTAAACTGATTCTCAGTCTCTCTGTAAACAATAGTTAAGGAAGCAGTGAACAATTCACTATGAGTATATGAAAACACCATAACAAAAATCAGTGCATCACATTCAAGAAAAGCCCCTTTGGAATGCATTTTCAGATCATTCCTTACCTTCTAAACATATCTGTAGCATGAGAAAAAACAGAAATTAAGGGCGATTTCCACATGCCAATACACCATCTTCTTCAGAACACTGCTCTGCATTTCCTGTGCACACGTGCCATTATGGGGATGCATAATTTTTGTTTTTGTTAAAGTATAGGTTCCATTATTTCACATCCAAATTAAATAAGTATTTCAGGCAACTTTGGGTTCTTTTTTTCCAATTGTATTCGATTTAAAACTATCTTGTCTTTTTATAACTGAGACGTTTGCTTTTACATCTGTGGTATCCCCCATGTAATTTATCTTCCAACGTGTCTCCAAATACACTACACTGTACTGTATGAGGACCAAACCTAATACTAAAACATTGCTAGTTTGTAAGTTGCTTATACAATTCAAAGATAATTAATTTTTCCCCACTGTTTTCCCTGAACATTATATACTGTAAACTAATTTTACAGGTGTATCATGCATTTAGGCAGGGCTTTAACTTTGACAGAAAAGCTTTCCTTATTGGCGCAGTTGTTTGTTTCAGACTACATTATTTCAGAACAGGGTTGTTACAAGTATTTAGCTGTACCACTAAACAGTGGCAAAAACAATCACCAAAGACGTGGGCAACATATTTTTACTCAACATTACCTGACGTGCCCTACTGCTATAACTTAACGTGTTACAGGGGATCCCCACCATACGATGTTTATAACAGTACTAAAAAGCACATTTTCCAATGTAATTTTACTACGGAAAATCTGTATTAAAAAAATCACATTACAGGAACTACAACATAGCGGTCAGTGAACTCTGTATCACGAAATTTAGTTTTATATTCTAGATTCTTGTTTCACTGGAATTATTGATATTGGGATACAAATTCTTCTGCTCATCACAATATAACTACTTATGTCAATACTTCAATAATCTCATGCTCCATTGTGAAAGACCTTAAATAAAAACCCAATAACAAATACTGTGAATATGTTGTCATGAATAATTCTCATGTTAAGAACTGTTAAAATCCCTTTTTGATCTTCCTCCTCTTCCTTATCAGATTTGGCAGTTTATTCTGTCCACTTTTACTTTTGTTAATAAAATTCTGATGAAGAGAAGGTACCTTTATGATTCATCATCAGCCCTACGCATAGCATGCTACTCTTCAAGGGATGCGGAGTCGAGAGAGAGAGAGAGAATTTTTCAGGCACCACTCAGGATGATATGCACACAGGATGAAGGTGGTGCTACACTAGCTGGTAGCCTGATCCTGAAGTTTGGTCATATTCTATTGTATACTGCCTTGTCCAGTCCACAATAACAGGCCGAAAAAGACCACAGCATCTGAATTCAAAGAAGTCTATAATGTTCCTTATACATCCATGGCTAAAAACAAAAGGAAAACACACATTAGCAAGTAATATCATAGCACATCTAACAAAGTACATAATCTTTTGACTACCTACAGAACTGATTCTTCATCCTTAAAGTTTCTAACTTTAGAAAACCAGCTCTGCTCAGAATTTTTCTAGTAGTTGATAAGCAAGTTGATGAGTAAGTT